ATCTCTGTCACTCTCTCCCTCGTCTTCTCTTACCCACGTCTTCCCTCTCATGCATGAAGACCACCACCACCCGCTAAGTCCAAGCCCCAGCCTGGCTACGCAGGCTGGGCTATTGCGCTGCCCTCAGCAGCGCCCTGTACCTTGCACGTCCGCACGCGCTCTTCAGCTCTGGCGCTAGCAGCATTATGCGAGCAACCGCTCCAGCAGCGGTGCCGCCTGCTCTACCAAGTGCCCGAATTCAAGCCTGGCGTCCTGCCCTTTTGTTACGGACTTCGCCAGGGCTCGATCCCTGGTCTATCTCTGTCTCTTATACACATCTAGATGTGTATAAGAGACAGCACACACACACACACACACACACACACACACACACACACACACACACAATCGGAATCGGAATCGGAATGGGAATCAACCAATCAATCTACCAATCCCTAAAGCAATACAACTGATCCCACCCTAAACCGAGTAAGCTGGAACAAAGACTTCAAAAAGAATCCTGCAGCAGCAATCAAGCATCAGCTCCAAAGGGCACACTTGATTTCTTCTTTTGTGTTTAATGATTGAAATTTGATCCATGACATGTGCCAAATTACCCTACTTGTCTCTGCCTTGTGTAGCATGCCTGCCCATTCGCTGACCTCTGACAATTGGGAGGTTGTAAGGTCACGTCTGCCAAAGCCACTTCTCCTGAAGCATTCCCAGCGAGGTCGGATGGGGAATAACCATCGTTAGAAGAGAGAAGCTACACCGCAATCTTCCTCTCCTCGTCTGTAGATGCTATGTGACCCATGTGACATCTCCTGGAGTCCATATTGTAGTCTCAAAACGTTTTCTACCATAGCCATTTCTCCCAATGTGTCATAGATCCATCAGAGGAGCATAGTGTGCTCCATGTGTTCCACTGTGGTTCCGTGTAGTTTTCCTGCTTATGCAGAGCCAGGCCCGCTAACTATCACTTCAGGCGGATAGGTCTCCAAGTGGCAGCTCTACCGTTCTGCCTCCGTAGCCGGCGATGATCTCCCCTATGCCTCCATTACGATGGAGCACATTCTTTGTTCGATTTTTTTTGCTCAAATGCTAATCGTACATCACTACTGTACTGTAACTACTGTACTATACATGGGATGCCTACTCTTCCTATGACAGGCTGTTCTCCTTGACCATACCTGTGAGTCGTGCCTCAATCCAGTAGTTCACTTGCCATTGCAATGGCTGTAACCAGGTTCTGAAATCCGGACTTCCAGCTCGCTCTTTCGAGCCACATTTCTTCGCATTGGCTCACTCGAGCAGACAGGTCTGGCCAGAGTGGTGGGAGACACTCGAGTCTCGCCAGAGTCGTAACTGTATGATATCGGGCGACTTCCTGATTGGTGTGATAGCCAGACAAGGTTGCGCCGCATTGGCCACGTGTTGTGGGTGGTGTAAGCGGTGGGGACACTGCCTCAGTGCTGGTTCAACTCATTGCACTGCCTGCCCCACCTGTCCTCCGTTACCCCGAGAGGCGCCGATCATTGCGTTTCATCACCTGTCCTTGTCCTTGAGCATGTATATGTTGGCACGGGGGGAGTCGCAAATTCGGACGAAAACATAATTTTGTTTTTCAGTATGGAGAAGTTCATAGCTATGCATTTTAACGTGTTCGGATTCAATGCACAAAAGACCAAAAAGATATGGAGACTTACCTGTTCTCTCCCCCTCTCTTTGTGCCCCTCTCTCTCTCTCTCTCTCTCTCTCTCTCTCTCTCTCTCTCTCTCTCTCTCTCTCTCTCTCTCT